AATTTCGATCATAAATTTTGATTGGTTACTGGATTTGACGATCAAAATGCCGATCGAACAACTTTGAAATGGCCTTAAGTAAATATCTTAAATAAAACTATTTATTTTATATTCATCTAATTTTTTTTAATTTCTTTAATAAAGTTTAGTCAAGATTTAATTAATAATTATTATATAAGAATAGTTTTTAATAAAAGTAACTTACGGCTAAAATGTTTAACCATTTAAAAGTTAGTAGTCAAGTTTAAATTACAATATAAAGAATAGCAACTTCCAAGTATATATAATTAATCATTAGAAATTAAATAAAAGTTTAGTTTACATGTAAAAAATATATCAATAGGAAATTAAATGACTTACATTCTATTGTATATATCACCCACCATTGAATTTTATTTTATTTTTTTTAAAAAAATCTTAATTATTAAAGAATTATAGTTTGACTTAGTATTCATACCCTCTAATTCTTTTGAAGTAGGAGCATCTGGAGCATCCGAAACTGGCTCCAATGTATTGCAAATATTTTGTTTCAAGACAAGAAAAATATTTATAAATCGTCTCAAGTCCGTAAAAACAACTTGTTTGAAAATGCTTACCATCTTCATTTATAACAGCTTTTTTATTACTTTTGTTTCTTTGGTAAATATATTTTTAAATTTTTTATTACTCTTTTATCGTTACTGTTGAACATTTAAAAAAGAAAAAAAGTCGTTTCTTTTCAAATAAAGTTAAGCAACATGCCACCAGCTTTTCGGCATAATTAAGGCGTGCGAAACATTCATTATTCACGACCGAAAAAGTTTTATTATTTTGACGCGCGTCAAAATCCATATAGTTCTAAATATGAAAAAAAAAAACACAATCATAAATCAATTAGGATAAAAATACAGACACTCTTTTTATTGTAAAATTAGTATTTTCTTTAGTGAATCATTTTTGAAACAATTAAGAAAATTTCCGCATTTCATCAATAATAATAGATCGAAGAATAAAATCTACCGAGCGACCATATTTATTATTTTCCTTCTTATTATATTTAACTAAACAAAAAAAATAATGTGTTTACTTAAGCTACGGTACCTTGTCGTTTCTTTCGAATTAGGACTTATAGTTGGTTACATATATATTTCACCATATTATTTTTCTATCTGAGAAAAATTCTCGGTTAACTTCCGATAGTCTTTCTATTCGGACATTTTCAAGGTTATCTCACGCAAGTGGTTAATTACTTTTAAAATATCAATTACATATTATTGAAAATAACTCGTATATTATTTTTTTTTTTTTTTAAATGGAGCATACGGATGTGTAATTGAAATAACTTGGGATTATTTAGAGAAATTATGTTCCATGAAATTTTTTTTGCGATTATAGTTGCCTGGCAAAACTTATTTTAGTAAATGGCAAAATCGAAACCTTAGATTGTTAATAAGTCATTTCATAAGTCACGGGACACTCAGCAAATTTGTTACCAGCAACCCGGCAAATCAGATTGCTAGGAAAATAATAATAAAACATATGATGGCCAATAAATACATTTTATAATTTGGCAGTGATCCAGCAACTTAAATAATTTGCATTTTTGTTAAAATTCAAATGTGTAATTTATATTATTGGTCAGTCTATTAGGATCATGCTGATTTTGATGGACTGATATTTTTTGCCAACGGCTAAATATCAAATATAATAGACTTTTTATATTTTTCAAACATTATTAATATTTAATTTAAAGCATGATCTTTTGTTTGACTGACGCAATAAACTAGTTATTGGTTATATGGATAAAATATCGTGTCACCCCTTCGGGGTGATTGATATTTTACCCCCCAACCAATAACTATTATTTATACGTGTTTATTGTTATTTTTTGGCAACCCGAGTTGCTGGGTTGCCGAGTTGTCAGCAACTAATTGCCGAGTGTCCCATGCCTTTTCGTTATGAAAACAGCTGTAATATAGTTTTGACTTGCGACAAGATTATATTATGGTTTCGAGTTTCCGAGGTTTTCCAATAAGATTTATTATAGGAAGACTTTAAACTCCAACCCGTCTTTAAGCTTTCGATTCTAAACCAAATTTTATTAAGGTCACGCACATAGCATTTTCGGTTCACGTCACCCGACCGGGTCACCTTTTAAATTTTAACCAAAAAAAGTTTTATATGAAAAATTTATCTCGTGACTTCGAAATATAATGCTGTTGTATTCAATTCTTTCGTTTATGTATTTATATATTTTAATGTAAGCAGAAGGGTTTTTATTAATAAGCAATTGAATAATTATGATGTAATGTTATTCAATAAAATTAATTAATCAGCGTTGTCTCAACATTGACGCTCTTTAACTCAAATAATTGCTAATCACTAAACGCTCATTAATTAAAGCTATGCAAAATAATAATTGGAAGAATAAAAATAAATAAAAAATATTAAAACAACGAAGTTAATTAACGAAGTAAAGCATAAAAATTATGCAGTTATGAATATCGCATGGAAAATATATTTAAAACAACTTGGAATCCTAATAAGTCATAATTTGATCTTCAAAGACTAACCAAGGCGTAAGTTTATGATTTTTTCGAGTGGAATTATATCTAACAATACGAATTTTTATGGTATTAACACATTATTGACTTATAATCAAATCCGTTCTCGTCATTTCTTGGTTTACTTGATTTTTTATAATTTCTTTTCTTTGTATCTTCACAATACTCAACATTCACGGTAAGTAATGCATTTGATTGGTTAGATTTTGCCATATCCTAACAAATCATGCATTACTTACCGTAGCGTGAACTCCGTAAATTGTGAAGTAATCCGTGAAGTTACTATCAATAATCTTATTACCCTCACGTTACATTTAGTCTGACAATGGTTCTTGTTCTTAAACATGTTACAAGTAATACAAGAAAAAGCGAATAGTTTTTTTAATTCACAATAGATAATGAGAAAATGTTTGTGAAACAAAATTGAGTTTTTTGAAATTTTATTGATAAAATGACTTTTGGTCGTAAAAATAAAAATAACTGATTATAACACGAAGTTATTAAAAAAGTTTCTTTTTCAAATATTATTGGAGGGTCCATTAAATAAATATGACACATCGTTATTAGTAACTTCGTCGCATTCGTAGAATTAATTGTTTGCAGATCTATTTATCTGCAAATGATGAATGTTTTCACTAAAAAAAAAGTGAAAAAAAAGTCAGTAAACCGAATAGATAAACTTAATAAGTACTTTGGCATTGCTATAACCATCCAAAGGTTGATTTGTCTTTGTAAGGGAGAAACAGCAAGCTATAACTAACCAAAGGTGATTTGTCTTCGCAAGGGAAAACTTGTAAGAGGTCTTTCAATACAATAAGAGCGTTTGGTGGTCACGAACGATCCACACGTATGCGTCATCAATTCTCCAAACTAATGAAATCATGTAAAGCCATGCAATCCGAAAGGAGACCTCAGCAAAGGGACGGATTGACATCGTCGTTAGATTGTGGAACAAGGAAATACTTACTTTACGACATATAAGGAAAAAGCCAACAAAAAAGGGATAGGCGATAAAAACATTTTTTTTTTTATTTTTATTATTTTATGTGAGCGACTGGTACCAGTATTTCTTTCTAAAATAATCTTTTTTAACTTGAGAGAGTTGTAAGAAATGTAAAGGTGTTTATTAAACATTTATATAATTTTGATCGCGTTGAATTTCTAAATTGGGGGTTGGGTTCTACGTAATAAATATTTTGAAAGTCACGTGATATAACCCGACTTCAGACAGTTACGTCATTTAATACGCTGGGTCAAATTTTAAACAAAAAAGTTTATAAATAAAAAGTTTATCATGTGACAACACAGTGGTAATTTTTGCATGGCCTCGTCCCCTTAAAGATTGATTAATCAGATGGCATAATATTTATATATACAATCACGCGATTTAAAATGAAGCATGAGATTGTGTAATTGGAAAATGTTACACTATAAATTATGGATAATCTATTTGATAACGTGATAATCTTTTTATAGATATCATATAGCGAACTCTATATCGAACCAAATTTTCTGGAACGGCAGGTTCGTTATATCCAGAGTCGACTGTAAGCATATAAAGGTTATTTATACTACGGTTCTAGAATTATTTTTTATGCAGCATCATAATTATTCCTTCTTTTGGTTTTCTTTTTTGACCCCGATTTACCACCCATAGGTGTGTCATTATTAGCTTGACTTCTCGATTGTTTTCTCTGCGCTTGTTTTCTCAACTCTTGTTTTTTCAACTAAATATAATAATAATTTAATAACCAAAGTTATATAATTTAACACATTTAAGTAAATATTCTTACCTCGATCCTTTTATTTGCAAATTCATAAGCAGCAGATGTGTGACACACCATTAAATTTTGTGGGAATAATTCTTCGACAAGTTCCTCCGTGATTGTTGACGGCCAGAAATTTAATGTATCATCTTGTAAATAAAAATATAATGGATCCGTTTCTTTATGATTTTCTGTAGTTAAAAATCGTAACATGTATCGTTTTAAAGCTACTACAAAAGCTTCTGCTGGTATCAAATCTTTTCCTACAGTTTGCTGTTCAAAATCTACAGTTCGAAGTATGTCGTATTCAATATCATTTGAAAGGGGAACTTTATATTTTTCGTGAACATATTTGATTTTAAGGTTGGCAACTTGTACTTCAACGAGCTCATATAATGCTACCAAATGTTTAAGTCGTAAATCGATATTTAAAATTTCGGAGAACCCTGCATGTTCGACTAATGATGATGATAATTTAATCCATTGTTTGACATAATCTTTAATGGATATTTCCCCATCTCCAACTGCTGTACGTTTAACAAAACACAGAAGAATTTCCAATGATGATAAGGTCTCTGACGCGTTTTCCAAAGTTAATTCTGAACCAGGCGAATACATTGAAGCAGGATTTCCAGCACTTAACAAATTCATTTTGTCAATTGGAATTGGTTCTTGAGGTATTAAATCCTTAATATCGCTGAGGATTCTCATACATTCTTGGAACAATTCCATCTGGTATGGGAAAGTTTCCAAGTACAGTTGAGAAAATGGTTTTGCCGTTTCTATATAAACTTTGTTAAAAACTAAAATATTTGCCAATTCCGCCTCAATATTTGTTAAATCATAAACGATCCCTCGACCTTTGGCAACTTCGAAGTCTCTTTGGCTATATGCAAGAATTTCGTCATCCCAAGTAAATTTTATTATATTCCCGGGCCGTGCACGATCAATTCGCATAGATTGAATGAAATATCTATTAGGTGTATCTGGTTTGATCAATTCAACTTTTGTTTTTTCGTCAAATATCGGTTCATCTAAAAACATGAGAGATTTACATGTCCCAGGTGGAATTGCCATGACTTCTCGTAAGAAAGTGTTCTGCAAATTAACTAAATAATGTAAAATCGCACATAAGAAAATCCCCTCATCTTTAGCTTCCATTAAACCTAAAACGATCGAAAATCCGGCTTCCATATCTGGTATATTTGGTAGTTCACGAGATAGAAACCGTGTTACATTATGATTAATTGTATTCCAACCAAGTTTAAAGTCTTCAAAGGCCATATTGAACATTTCAGAATTTTCACCACCACTTTCAATGAAATCCCTAAAGGTCATTTCTCTCGCATGTTGTCTTGTCAAGTAATATCCAAGTTTAGAATTCAAAAGTTGCACAAATTTTACAATGGGTAAAAGATGTTTGAGAAATTCTAATTGTTTAGCGTGTTTGAAAAATACTGAAAGGAAAGGATAATTGTTTGCGTTACTTTCCACATCACTAATATAATAAGCACGGAAACTTTCAAAATTAATTGTCTCAATCATCCTCCATAAACTCGGTAAATTTTTACTTCGATAATGTTTATCCATCACCAAGGTCTGGTCAATTTCTCTCTCAATCGTATTAACATTCATTTGATTTTTAGCTGAAGCCGCGTCTGTTTTTTTACGATAATTGGTAGCTGTATCAGTTATATCCCTAATTTGTGGTTCGATATATTCTCTCCGAAACACCACTTCCCAATTCTCACGTTCAGCGGCAGTTTTTATTTGTTGATTCGGTAATGGTGGTTTTTCGATCATTAAAGTCATTAAGGAATGGAACACCAATGCCAAATTCTGATAAAATATAAAAAAGTTGAAATTTAATAATTAACAAAAAAAAAAAATATATTTAAAAATATAAAATAAAATCACAATATACTTCATCTGAACATTCAAGAAGTTTCTTGAGAACCGTCCAATCATTTTGGATATGCTCCATACAATACTTTTTGGCATCCGTAGCTATTTCATTATTTTTACGAAGGAAAGAAAGTGCAGGTTGAGGGGCAGATGCACCAATAAGTACATGAACGATTAAATGTAAAATACGATATGAAGTAGCTTTCAAAGATCTGACGAAACGATTCATAGTTGTATCAAGAAGTTCTCCGATATAACCTGATTCTATGTCTGAAGAACATGATAAAATAAACAAATTTTGACAATCTTGTAGTCGGTGAAAATACATTGCCAATTGGGATGAATTTGGTTCAACTGAAGCGTGATATGCGATTATATGTGCAATAACAGATTTTAAAAGCAAATCTGTATCACTAATGTTTGAACTGTTAATTTTAAGTAAGGGATAATTATTTGAAAATAATTTTGTAAAAATTTTTTTATATAATTCCGGGAGATTATTCATTTCAGCGAGTTCTCTGATCAAGAAATCAGCCGATCGCTTTTCATTATGTTGCCATTTTATTGAAGCCCTTATAACATGAAGACGTACAAAGAAAAGTCCTATTAAAGTTATCCTCGCCGTCATTGCATCCTTTTGTCTGATCTTTCGTATGAATATTCGTATCGGCGTTTGGTGGTTTATATTATATAAGTTCGTAAAAGCTTTGTCAGCTTCGTCATATTCGGGCAAAGTATAATATGGGTTAAAAGACAATGGATTTTCTTTAACATTTTCCCAATTTAAAATTCCAATCCAAGGTAAAATACTTTTCTGAGCTTCACAAAATTTTCTAACATCATCAATTGAAAAATCTCTTTGACGTAAATCTCTTAAAAAGTAAATTTTGAGAGAATGAATCATAGGATGAGCGAAGTTTAAACTTTCATTGACTTGATTGATTAATTCTGCACTATCAAATTCTCCGTCTTCTTCCATTTTATTATACGCAATGGGACGATTTTTGTCTTCTTGAAGGAAACTATTCCAGAATTGACGAACAAATTCCTTAAGCAAAGCGATTGCAGTTATTTTTTGCAATGCTGGTGCTCCCGGTATGGATAAAGCATCAAGAGCATCTCCAAAGTATTCTGAAACTTCTTCCAATTCGCAATCCATAAAGAATGTTTGTTCGATAACATCACAACATAATGTTACCATATTCGTATCCAAGTCTTTGAAACATTCATTAATAGCATTTAACCGTGCAGATTGTCCTAAAGCTCCCTCTGCATCTGTAATTATTGTAAAGAATATATTCTCGTTTTCGTTATTCTCACTAAGGAATATCCTTTCAATGATCGCACCCATTAACGGGAAGGGTTCACTTGAAAATAATTTTTTATAAAGACCGAGTCGAACACCGGATTCAATAGGAATTAATGCTAGACATCTCATGATAACTGATCTCTTTGGTATCAAATTCTTTTCATTTTGCTCTAATAAATCTAATTTATCAAGTATGGCGCAGACAAATTCCTCAGAAAGAACCTCTTGTTCGTTCGAATTTAATCCAAGTCGAACAATTTCTCTGATACTATTTAAAGAAATTTTAGTTGTAACCAAATCATTTACGATACGTAATAATTGTAAATCTAGCAAGGTCTTTGCTCGCGTTATCTTGTTACAAAGGAATAAGATTTTGGATACATCATGTTGCCAACTATTAATTAAAAAACCATTTACTTCGTCTCCTAAATTTTCACAAATGTTCTGAAGCATCATTTTGGTTATTTCTTTAACAATATACATCTCAATTTTTTCCTCAATAATAATGTTGTCTTGGTCTTCAATGTTTTCGACAATTTCTGGGGCCATTTGAACTAGTTGTAATTGCGCTATTACTTCACTAGATTTTTTCCACCAAAAAGTGTGAAGAAGAATTGGCTGATGCACTTTATCAGCACCAATTAGCCTTTTTAAGATTAATGCTAAAATTTTTGTATTCATATTTCCACTCTCACTTGATGCAATTACAGTAACGAAATCATTAAAATATAGTTCAGGAAATCGCTCAAGAGGAGAATCTTCCAATTGGGAAACTGATGTAAGAATAATATTTTTAAAACTTTTCAAATGATTCTCAATTTCATAATCTTCAAGTTCATTAGTTGTGCCATCAATTTTATCTTCATCCTGCTGTAAGACTGCTAATTCTTCTTCATAATGTCTTTTGAAATTATCAATTTGTTTCATAAAATAGAATGAGAAAGGAAATTCAAGATCGTACAAATGTTCTACCGGCATAGTATATCCATCTGGCTTTGGATCTGGTATATCTTTAATATTGACAATTTTATTATCAATACAAGTTCGTTCCCAAAATTTAAGTAATAATTCTTCATGGCCATTTTCAACAATATAAAAAAGAGTTTTTGTAGCTGATAATCTTTCCAAAGCACATAAAGTTCTAGCTATCGGATTCCTAATCAATGTTCTTATATGAAATTGTAATGCCACAGAAAACGATGCGTATGGATATAAAAGCTGTTTGTTTGACGCAACTTTATATTGCCAACCAGCTGTAGAATTTTCTTCGGTCCATTCTAAAGTCTTTGCTTTCAAGCAATCAATCAAGGCTGGACATTCTAATATTTTTTCGCTTAACATCCTAGATTTTTTTTTTTTTTAAAAAAAAAATTCAATTCAATAATAGCTTTCAAAAGGATAAAAAAAGTTTCATATAAAGAGAACTCTTACTTTATATGGTTGAGAAACTTAATATTTGATGGATATTTCATACACAATAAACACCATAATAACTCTTCTTGTAAAATTTTTTTGAATGGATAAGAAGCATTTATAATATCAGATAATGTCTTATCCAAAAGACCATGTAAAGAAATATCGTTTCTTGATAAAATTTCTATAGTCATTTGTCTCCAACCGCACATAAAATTAAAAGGTGCTAAATTGGACTCCAGATCTCGATGAATATGTAGTATGATATACGCATGCTTCGTCTCCATTAGTTCGTCTTTCTTTGCTAAAAATTCACGTTGGTATTGTTCAATAA